CGTCTTCGTCATCCTTCTTGGACTTGTACCGTCTGTACAGTTCACCATCGCTGGCGTCTGTGTCGTCATCTTCTTGGTGAATAGAAAGGTCTGTGTTGGAAATACCTCCATTCACAAAGGCAACTCGCTGTCCATTCTGTCCCTTAGGTCCTGATGGCGCATTTGCTATGCTGCCTCTGGGGCCAAGAGGAATATTGTTGGTAGCTGGAGGTGAATCGAGTCGGGAGTGGCGGGCTGGTCCATTTCGTCGTCGCTCCATCTCCTCCATCTCTTCTTCCTTTCTTAGTCGCTCCAGGTCTCGTTGGTTGCTACGTTCTCGGAAAGCAGCGATTTCCTGTGACACAACTTCCCTCATCTCAGCTGGGATATCTGCGAGTTCGTCCTCTTGAGCCAATGGGATATTCACAACTTCGACATTCTCGCCAGACTCGGTATTGCCCATTGTGACGTCCTCGTTTGTTATGTTGGTTTTGGGATAGAACAAATCGTGAACAACGTCCTTGAGCGCTGACTTGGCCGCCTCGAGCTTCTCCGATCCGATAGCACCGTCTTGACTCTCTTCGTAGGACTCCAGGTACTTGAGCGAGCTCTCATCGACCATAACTTTGAGCTTCGTCTTGTCGATGCCCTCGTACGTGTCGTCTTTGGGTGCATCTGCGGCCACCGGTTGTCGCTTGACGGGAACTTCGACTTGTTGCTCGTGGAGAAGTTTGACTGCAGTACTCAGCGACCAAGGGTCCTCAAAAAGAGCGAAACCAAACTTAACGCCTTTATGGTCTTCTGTGACACTGGCTTCAGAATCCCACTTTCGCAGCTTTCCACAAGCACCCAGAAGACGTAAGATCCCTTCATCGCCACCCAAACCTTCGGGAATCTCGTTTATGAAGATCGTTCGGAGCTTCTCCTCGTTCGTCGGGGGAACAAGTACCTGTGTTACTTCTCTCGCACCTCGGTCTCGATCACCTCCTCGGTCCATCCCCAAGCCAGGTCGACCACCACTGGGCATAGGCATATCACGACCGCCCGCGGTGGGGGTACCGGGTTTACCCTGCTGCGATGTACCGAGTCGGATCACGGGGGCATTGAAGTTGATGTTGGGCATGTTGGCAGGCGCTTGGAAGTTGTGTGGAAGGCCGCTTGGACGATTAGCTTGCTGGGCGCTAGACTGCTGGACACCTGGAGGTGCCATTCCTGGAGCAGAAGACATGCCTGGAGGAGGTCCTGGAAATATGTTAGAAGGGTAGTGAGGGCATTGCAGAGCTTGCGCACCTAGACCAGGTGGAGGAGCCATTCCTGGAGGGGCATTGTTGGATCCAGGATATCCTCCATATGCAGGAGGCGCGCCGTAAGGATTGTCTACTCAAGTTAGCTCTGTTGATACTGATTCAAGGGAAACATACTGCCATAAGGATTATACGCCATAGTGGCGCCGTCGCGAATACGCGCGGAGAGTAGGGATGAGGATGGTCGCGTAGGGCTTTTGAGTAAACTATTCACGTCAAAGTAACGATGGAATCGTTTTTAGATGTTGATTCGCGATTCTTTATGCAGGCGCAAACCGTGTTGAGGCATCCAGGCACGAGGCTGAAATGTTTCAATGTGGGGCCGGTTTTCGGTCCACAATCCCGCCTTCTTTCGCACCTACATTTTTCCGAACATCGCGACTTTTCTGCATCGCCTGTTCTGGGACAGCTATTGACGACGGCCATTGGCGGTTTAGCTATATCGACAAGATGTAAGTCAATTGGCCTTGTACTTTTGAATTGGATGCTGACACATTTAGGGCCGCTTCACTCAGGATGGGCAGCTCGATGCTGTCGAGAGTAGCTATACCTTCAACATGTCTCGCCAAGCGGACATTCACAACCTCGCTCGCCTTCCGAGCAGGTCCCAAAATTCCTACCGATGACGAAGCACCTCCAGCCGTCGCTCCTCTAGCTCGATCGAATCCCCTCGTCGGCAATCTTCCTCCTTCACCACCTCCCGCCGGCTCTTTCACTGAATCTTCCACCGTATCAAAGCCCAGCCACGCCTATGATGCTTCGAAACCCTTCAGTCTGGACATTGCATCCATCATTGCCAACAAATCCAGCCAATACGGCGCTGAACTTGACTCGGATCCAATCGCTCGACCTCAAATTCGCGCTAAACCCGTCACTGGTCGTACAGTCTTCATCAAGGACCGAGTAACCAAGACCACCGGTCCCACGCCTATGGTTGCTCTTCGAGTTCTCAACAGAATCATCCGAGAGGACCAGGTCAAGAATAAATTCCACAGCCAAAAGTTCCATGAGCGAAAGGGTCTTAAGAAGAAGAGACTAAGGAGTCAGCGATGGCGATCACGATTCAAGCATGGTTTCAAGGCGACTGTCAGCAGAGTTTTGGAGCTTAAGAAGCAGGGCTGGTAGAGTGTAAAAGCACGGTGTACATTATATGAGAGCATGTAAACTATGACTAAGGAGAATTCATTATCGTGACTACATGTATTCGTCGTCATCCCAATCCCTGGTCGGGCTTGGCAGAGGGCTGGCCTTGATTTTCGGTCGTGATCTGAAGACAGCCTCCATATCCTCTTGAGCCATCAGTTCATCGGTGATGATGGTCATGTCTTCCTCCTCCACCTTGGGAAAGTAACTTCCCTCCTTCTTAGGGGGCGCCTTGGTCTTCCGCATAGAGCGTCGCCTGTCCAACTGGGCCTTTTGTCTCGCCTTGTCGAAACCAGCCATGCTCTTCCGGGTCCGAGCAATGAGATCAAATTCCTCGTCAACTGATGTTTGACCGGGGTCCTCTGCAGAAACAGGTTCTGCGGACGTTGGTGGGGATATATCGATGTCTTCATTATCGGGGTCGAACGCTCCACGAGCCATGGTCAGGCGAGTTCGTTCAGCAAGTGAAAGAGTATGTCGAGGCTTGGGTCGTCGTTTGACGGGAGAAGGAGAAGCCATATCCATAGATTCGAGGATCTGATCTGCCATTTCTTGGGTGGGGGAAGGTCTCGCCGGCATCAATTCTGGAGATTCTTGTAGTGGCAGAGGTGACGGAGGAGGAGACGGTTGAGGCGATATATGAGGTGACAGCTCGGGTGAGACATCGTACTCAGGTCGCGGAGAGGCCGCGACAGGTTCATCCTCAGGTTCGGGTGAGCTAGTCCGTTCGACTGACGAGGCACGAAGAATGCGAGCTTCGTCCTCAGATGGCTTGCGCAACTTTCTGGTACGCGAGGAAATCGAAGCAAAAGAGTCATCCGTATGAGCCAGCTTAGGGCGCACTGGGAGCCTTCGTGACTTGTCGAGCTTCGACTTGAAAGACTGAATCGGGGTTTCAGTAAACCCGTCCTCGTCTTCAAGCTCGCTGATCGCCTCCTCTTCTTCATCTTGTGGTTCGGGGGCCGGGGCATTGATGGCCGGTGTATTCTGAGAAGAGGGGCGCTGCAAAAAGTCAAGAGCTGAAGACTTTTGAGGTTTTGTGCTCTGCAACTCCTGGCTCAGATTGGACACAAGATCCTCGTACTCATTGAGGAGCTTCGGTTTGCCGAAAGTTGCCTTCTTAGGGCTACCACTTCCAAGATGAAGTGCCTCGTGAGCACCAAAGCCAAAGTCGATGCCGTTCTCCTTTTCCTTTTGCTTGACCTTGGAGGGGGATGGTTTGGGTTGATCAGCGGACAATCTGTTGCGAAAGGTTTGCCACTTTTGAAGTCGTTCCCTCTGAACACGTACTCGAGTATCGAGCTGTTCTAGTAAACCTGTTGAGTGCTCCTCAAGTTCTCCAAGTCGACCTTGTTGGACTCTTCTCCACACGCGATCAAAGGGCATGCCCAGAAGTCCGTCCTTCTTAATGCTGGCATCTCCGTAAAGTAGCGTCTCCATCCATCGCTCATTGCCAGACCAGTTGTTTCGAAGTGTCCGCCACATTTCTCGTCTAGCATCTTCAGAGATCGTCTTGCCTCCCTCGAGGGCATCAAGTGCTTCTTTTCTTCTGGCAATGCCCTTCTCCTTGACATTCAAAAGGTCGGCAAAGTCGCGGAACCTTGAGCTTGCGGCTACCTTGCTGTTGAGAATGCGACTGATCGCAACCTTGTGCGCCAAAACCATGGTGTTGAGATCTGTGTTGTCGCTCTTGTATCCCCGGTCCTCGAGCGCAAGTCCGAGCGCAAGTGCTGTATGTTCACCGCTTGTTGCGACCTCTTGGGCAATGACATGTTTGAGAACAGCAGACGAAAATGCTGCGAGAACTTCTTCGAGTCGTTCCCCTCGACATTCATCCAGCATTGTCTTTCGTACGATAGCATCTCGTCCGAGGACACCATTCTTCTTTGCTTGCTCAAGAGCTCGTAGCAGGGCGGCTCGCAGATTGACCGATTGCGTTTGGTCAAGAGGAGGGAAGAACGGTTTGAGTTTCTACCAATGTCAGCTTGCTTCACACATTTTATTTGCTGTCTTACCTTTTTTGTTTCATCGGGATCCCATAGCGCAAAGAGTTGGAAGAGCGCCCATTCAACGCAGTGTACCCTCTTCTTTAGGCCCTGCGCACTGGAACCGCCGCTCGCAAATGTTTGGGCCTTAATACCGGGCCAATCCTCGTGTTGATCGAGGTCCAAAAGATTCAAATTGGTCAAAAATATCGACAGCGCTGGAGGTCCATGGTGAGCGTGAGGACTTGGCGCCGTCGCTGGTGCATGTTGAGTAGATTTGTTGGTGAAGCCGGCCACTAGGCGGGCTGACCGCGTACGAGGCTGAACTGTAGCCATGGTGGCATGTTGAAAGAAAGTGTTTCGAAAGTGAGAGAGCCGTTTATGTAGTTTTTCGGCAGATATGCTGATACCACCTGAAAAGGCGGAGTGTAAATAAGGTAAGGCAGGCTGATGGTAGAGTAAACAAATCGGAAGACGGCAGAGTTGGTGGAGGTGGAGGTTGGAGGGGCTCAACGGCAACTGGGCCCTGTCCTGACGGTTTGTGGGGCCGGCGCTACCCTGCACCGAGCGACGACCTCACCCTTCAAGTTCATCGTGTTGATGAAACTGACGGCTTGAACCGCTGAAATATCATTTGATAAGGGGGAGTGGCTTGGGATTTGCACATCATGACTTTACACTTTTCCCCGTGAGTAGGGCATTCTTTCTGGACGTCATAGGAATTCAGCCAAGTGAGCTCTTTTGTTCCTTGCTCGCAGATCTCCAGAAAGCAGTACCAAGTGCCCGGCTCCCCAAAAAAGATGAAATCCAGGAGATTGTTGATGTGCTCCTCTTCTCCCGAAGCGACAAGCGGTTTGAAATTTTCCATGACTTGGGTGTGACTTGTTGCAGGTATTCTGATCTCATAGTTGTGTTTCTGGACCAACTTGAGAGCATTCTTTTGCCGAGTTTCGTCATTTGTCGCTTCAGCGACAGCCACTCGCAATGATTCCATCTCTTCTCTCATCTCTTGTCTTTCCTGGTCTTCTCTCGCCAAGTCCTCTCTTCTCTTCTCATCTCTTCTCGCCTCCTCTCTTGCCTGTTCCTGTGCCTTTTTGAGTTCATCATTCTCGGCTTTGAGAGCATCTTTCGCTTCATTTGCAGCGGAAGCAGCGTTCTGAGCTTCCTCCAAAGCCTGCTTCAATCGACCGACCTCGTCCGTTAGAGCCTTGTTCTCATCCTTCAGAATCGTTATCCGTACTGCGTCCTTATTCTCTGGCGGAACGCCCTCATCGACTCTTGGGCGTTCACTAGGGTGTTCGGTGTCTTCGATGCGCGGAGGTGCGGAAGACATGATCGTGTGTCCGGTAATGCTTAGAATCTGTGAGAGCCTGTATTGTTACTCCAAAGGCGAAGGGGGAAAGAAAGAAAGTGAGAAGTTGATTGGAGTCGAAAGAAAAATGAGGCGACGGTTGTGTTTGAATCAGAGATTGGCGAGCGGATGGAGAGCTGAGTTAACTGTCGCCTACGGAGACCATGACACTGTTGACAGCTGCCAAGCGGATGCACTGTTATTGAAGGAAAGACCCTATACAAGCCCAACTTCCATAGAACTACCTACCTAGTAAGTAAAAGTTCGCCATGCAAATTCTGCGCCTGGTATTGGCATAAATATCTGCTTTTGCATGGAGACTTTGCAAGACCCGACGCGATGTCAACCGTGTTGCATCAGTACTCATCGCTCAGCTACGCGAAGCCTCATTAGTCGGTAAGGCACATCAGCTACAAGTCAATTTATTTATCCTAATATCACTTCAAATAATAGATGAGATAAAGCATGTCTGATTTAGATTTGCTCGCCAGCGCGAGCAGTGCAAGTCTCCGACTTTCAACCCCTGAACTGGCTCATCCGGATACCCCGTTCCTGTTCATCATGGGTTAGAAGCTTTTGCCACCTCCAATGCAAGGTGTTCACATTCACAATATGGCATTACTATACTTGTAATTTCATTTCAGCGTATATGATATGTCCCTTGTATTGCTGTCCCCTAATATTCACCTTGAGAATTACCTGTTCCATCACACCGCACCTGAACTCCCAATAACAGCTGACAAGAGAAATATGATAGATGTAGTCGTGATGTAAATTACCGTCTTTTGTGCTTTCCTGTTCATATGTGTTCGTGAACAAGCCGGGTCTGCAAGAGGTTAGTAAAATAACCAGCAGTTCCACAAACCTCTCAACTTCACACCCATCAAACGAAAGTGTAGTTCACCTCCGCCGAATCAAGCTGAGTATCGTTGAAGTAGGGCCCAGTTTCATCCTCAGATTCCTCATCCTGCTCAACAAAGACAATTTCAACAGTATCCGGATCTTCATCATCCTCTTCCTCTTGCACAATAAACACAATTTCATTAGCCCAAAAGCCATCGCCCGCATGAGTAACCATAGGCACGTAATCTGCAGACCTATTGGGAAAACGACTCTCCGGTTCCTCCTCCTCGGGAATGGTATTGAGTCTTCGAGGGGACTCCTCAATCTCAACATCATCTTCTTGAAAAGCATAGTCCTCAAAGGAATGTTCGTGGTCCTCGGGAGCTTCAGTGGAGTAGAAGTAGAGTTCAGAGCAACACCGGCACTCCAGGACATGTTCCAAGTTCATCTCGTCATCCGATGGATTAGTGCAAGATTCCTCGAGCCGAACATCTTGAGATTCCTCCTCGTCAAACTCATCCTCTTCAAGCTCATTTTCTTCAATTTGACCCTGCTCGTAGTCGTCAAACTTGCGCTTTCGCGGTCCCCGGTGGTTGTCTTCCATGTGAGAGGGCCTTCGAGGGACCTCTCTATACGCGTTAGAGACATTATCGTCCCCCGAGGAGCCACCAGCGTCGGAACTCTCTTCACTTGACTCCTCAAAGCAGGACTCGGAGACATCAGCCTCATAGTCATCCTCACGCCAACAGCCGCTGAAACCCTCAAAGTCCTCGGCAGGGAGAAACGGACACTCAAAGGTGAACTCATGAAACGAGCTCTCGTACTTCACATCGCCCTCATCCATCTCAACCTCGCCGTTACCGACAAAACGGTATCCGGGAAGGTACCCGTTTAACTTAGATAATGCCTCTGAATCCCGTCGAGGGGCTGGGACCGGGGAAAGGCGGCCATATACGAAGTTTTTGTCGAGGCCCTCTTCCTCAACATCGCAGAGACCACCAATCTCAACAACTGGCGGTCCGTTCATCTTCATGTCTCGGTTCCCTGAAAAGTGTGCGCCCGAGTAACAGTGATCCCACTCGATGGGGGATGTAGTTTCCCGAGTCATGGGGGGCTCGGAGGTGGTGGTTGCATAAGAGACTGTGATGCTAGGCACAGTCATTCTGAAAAGAGAATATGAATGTTAGAAAGGGTTTAGAAGTCGGAAATGCTTTTTGTAGCGATGTTGAAGCGGTGATTGTTTGTGGAGAGGGTAGTGTTTTTGACTGAGGGTTGGTCGATTGTGCGGATGTTGGAATGGCTCTGATCTGGGCTTACTGGGAGAGTTATATACATACATGCGAGAGAGTATAACGCTAGCAACTGAATTAAACAGTAGAATAATCTGTTCTCATGTTGCTTCAGGGAGAAGCTGATGTTCAGTACTCACTTCAACCAACAAAGGTGGAGTTATCGCGACCCTGTAAGAAAACAGTTGTTCATCTGACCACAACTTATGAACACGTGCTTCTAGTCAATAAACTTCCCAGGAAAGAATTGGAAGAAAAGAATTAACAACGAGAACATGGTCCTGATAGATATTGGCAGTCATCTTGTTCAGTCTATGGGCTGATTGTCACGCTGAACATTGCTGCTTCTCAATCTTGGGCCACGATCATACAGTAAAAGGCGATGGCCTAGTGACTGTCTAAAGCTATTTCGATATAGGAGCAATCGTTGCGGTACGATATTAGAGCTTGTAGTCATATCACCTAGAATATTGTGTTTCAGCAAGGTAGAAAGAATAGGATGGTTTGTCTGATGTCGCTCGCTCTATTCCATAATACGTATGTTGCCTCATGTACATGTAAGAAAGTTGGCATAAAACCCCTGAATTTATATCATAATAATAAAGCAGTCTTAAAGTCTGCTAAGTTTATGTAAAGCTCGCCTAGGTAAGTCTGTCCACAATTTAGTAGGTTAGAGGGACTAAGTTTTCTTGTTTTCTTACCCCTATTCTGTCTCAACGAATGGAATTAGGTACCTTAGGCATGAATTCACTGTCTGTATGCTCTTTCGTTTAGAACAGATTTCTTGAGATCCTTATGGAAGGGGATGATCATGAGACAACTGACCCATCTGTCATCACCCATTCGCACCTCCTCCGTTGCGCGCATCTATTTCCACCGCATCTCTTTTATGATCTCGGCACTTCCATTCTCCATTCTCCATTCTCCAGACTTTAGACTTCAGCCTTCAGACTTTGCTCTTCACAACTCATCGACATTAATACGTCAACATCACACTCTTCTCCAAAATGATGCCAACTGATTCAGAGATGCCAGACTCTCGGGTGAGGGTCGACGTAAGTTTGGAAGATATCTTCATGGGGGCTTAGCAGAGAACTAACTATTTCCAGCTCCCGGACGTCGACTTTTTGTTACTGCCTTGGGAATACCTGGACCAGCCGCCCGAGGACGCTCAAAGTTCAGCAGCCGAAACCGAAACGGAGGGAAAGCAAGAATCACATGAGACTGAAACCGACGCCGAGAAACACGCCGAGCCTTCTGAAGAGGCACAACCCCAGAGCATCCCTGATACAGCCAAGATCAAAGCGTGTCCGGTCTACACTCGGTGTAGATGTATGCCGGAGTCTGTACCGTGGAGGCCATCGAATTATTACATTTTGCGTTTTCACCCAGCCTTGGGATATTCTGTGGACTTGTTCGGCGAAATCACTAGCATGCATGACACAGCCTCTATTGAAGAAGCCTTTCTCGTTGATCATGGAATACATGATGTATTGCCGGATTTTAACCGCAACATATATAAACATTCTCACTACTTCTACTGTTATCGGGCTGTTGTTACTGAAGGGTTCCATGGTAATGATGCTGCCCAAATTTGGTAGGATGCTGCAGGGCAACTGCGATGCCGTTGCCACCCAGCTGATAATTGCTCTTGCTCCTGGCTCACCAGGATGTTCCGGTCTATTCCCACTGAGTCTTTTCATCGTGGACTCATATTAGAGTCGAGATTCTGCAGTTCCTGCGATCTCGAGGCCACTCAATACGCCTCCTCCAGCTGGTTTCAGGATTACTGCTTGTAGGGGGGAAAATACTTGGTACCTCTAACCTAAGTTGGGGATAGACTTGGGCAAAATTTGCATAACTTAGCAGGCCTTCAGGCCAGAAACTTAATAGACCTTCAAGTCAGTCATTTTTAGGTCAGAAGTTTTATCGCCCGTATACAAGCTGTGGTCGACTGTCCCCTTTCCACGTCGACCACAAGCAATCTGTGCTCAACGAAATGGAATTGTCAGATTCCTACGGTACATAAGACATTTCTTCATATAACCCCTAATGTGAAACCGTGAACACCACAAAGCTCCAATCCTTAGCAAAATTCCCAACTCCTTAACCAAAGCCCAGATTGTCTCCCTCCCTGTCCTTCCTTTCCTCAACTGCTTCCCCATTACCGTCCTCTCTAGGTTCACAGAGCTCCATACATTTTCCGAAAGCGTAGTCTTCGGGTTCGGGCAGACTCCTTGTTAACAGCTCCCAATTTGGCCTTCAAGTCTTCCACCTCCTTTTCAAGACACATGGTAGAATCTCTCCAATACTTCAACACACGGGCCTTCACCTTGATAATTCTATTGAGTTTCTTGATTTCATCGGACATTTCTTGTAGGCTCTCTGGACGCGGGCTTTTCAGGCTTTCCTCCATATCAGAATCATCACTGGATTCTTTTGCCCCGTTGTCTGTATGGGTTCTTGCAGAGCGGGAATGCTCGTCGAGATTGGTCGACTGGTCGTTGATGGGCCGCATGATTCTATCTGGTGTCAGTAGCTGCGTTCCAGGCTCGACTTCATTTGATGGTTGTGAGAGACTGCATCTTTGCAGACTAGAAATAGTCTCGATGAGGTTGCCATGGTGCTCCATTTGTTGGGTGCTGGCCTTGCGGATCTTCCGGGGAGCATCGTCCACAGAGTCGCTGGGCAAGCGGCGTTTAGGCATTTTTCCGTGTAGTAGACTGTTAAATGATGAGTGTCCCCAAGTGAGTGCTGAGTGGGTAGGTAGGTGGTATGTGTTTATAGAAGTAAGTAGTTCAGATTCTGGGAGAACATAGGATTGGTATTTATACATGGAGATTTAATTCAATGTCTTGTGGATGAAGTCACTTATATATTTCCTTTCAAGCATGAAACCTTGGTTTGCAAGTTTTGGCCTTTCATGCACATACACTGCGCGGGTCTTTGAAAGACTACTGGCACCATTGACAACAGATAATTCACATAAATGCGCAGCTAGTGATAGGGAAGAATATTCGTGAAAGGGGATACGGTGAAAAATTATCCGCAATCGTTTCCCATGTTAGACTTAGACCAGACTGCGATACTAAAGTGTTTATTATAGTCTGCTGTATCATGCATACCGGGTGTTATGGGCTCAATATAATAAAAGAGATCTCGGCCCCAAACACCACCTCCAGCATCGTTTCGACAATCACTTTCCAATATTGACTTATAGAAACTCCTTGGCATTGCCTCCCTCCTCCGGCCCCATACCAAAGACCAGCAGGTAAGAATGACCTCCTTTCGAAGACAAGGAATGGATTGGTGGGGTTTGTGTTGCGCTTTCAATCTGCATGACCGGAATTCCACCGTCATCGTAGATTCGCATGTAGTCCCTCTCGTGAATTGTGTCTCTCATTCGCACAACAGAAATCAAAGAGAAAGGACAGGAGGATCCGTTATAGACGGCTGCCCTCTCATCGGGTACAACCAAGTCGAATTCTAATAGATCACTGAAGGGTTTGGGGTTTTCGGCATGCGAATGATAAAGAACGCGAGCGAAGTCAGGTTCTTTGAGGACCAAGAAGTCCTTGGTCTTTTGAAGTGCGCAATGCTGATCGGCCGCACGTTGAAGTGACAAGTTGGGGTTTTGACGACAGTCATATTCGATGAGACTGGCAATAGCTCGCTGTCGTCTGGCTTCCACCGGAGAAACCTTGGGTGATTACATTGGTATAGCAACCAATTATCCGAAGACCACAGGGTCTTGTTCATGAGATCGCTGTTGCAGCAATCCTCGAATGTGAGCGTGCCAGAGATACGATCCTTGAGGTGCTCGAGCACTCCTCTCTTGAGAGCAATGCGATGGCTTGTCAACTCTTCGTCGACTTCACGGGGAAAGAATGCCTGCCAGGCATAGGTCAACAGAGCATTTCCCTCTTCTCTCTGTTCCGAGCTTTTGTTGTTGAAAAGGGCGTTGGTGTGTCGGATGAGGTTAACTAAGCAGTCAACACCACTAGTCTCAAAGGATGGGATGTCAAGGTTGAGCGAAGGATGTGCGCGAAGACGATAAGAGAGTTCGAGCTTAGTCTGCGTAAAGCTCAGCGTCTTCCGAAGATCCTCTCTATCCATGATCGGGAGTTGCGCTGGGGTGTGAGGGAGTTCAGCGTTGGGTCGAGGGTGGGATGGAATGTTTTCTTGACCACTGACAGACATAGGAGTGACGATATTGCCATGAGCTGGTGCAGTCGGAGAGCTGGATTCCTTAGCCTTTTGGAGAGCCGCGGTCTCCCTAGCCCTTTTAAGAGCCTCGGCAGCATTCTCTTCCTCCTCCTTACCAATCAAGGGACCGTTGAGATCGTACTCTGATTTGAGTGATGCGAACGCGGCAGATAACCCCTCTCCCTCTTCAACCTTGGGACTCTTGAATGGCCAGGGGGGTATCTCCTCCTCGGGCAGCACACCGAACCAGGAAGCCCAGAAAAGCCTGTCGACGTTCCATTCGAACGACGAGGTTGGGATCCGTTTGGTCTGGTGCTTTTCGATCAGCCTTTGGGCAATTGTTCTTTGGGCCGTTGCATGAAGCTCGTCCTTCTCGGCTTCGAACTCTTTGCGACAGCGGTACCAGTTGCAAAAGGCATACATGTACTGACGCCTTTGCATCAGGGACGGCTGCGGTCCAGGGAACTCCTTCTCAAACTTCCCCAAGAAGAACCTTGATGTGAGCGCGACGTGTTGTTTGACGATATCATCATATGTTGATGGCTGTTTTGACGCCATATTCGCGGTAGTGATGGTGATGTGATGATAGTCAAAGAAAGGGCTCTCAAAACTCTCGATTTTGTTTTGGTACGACTCCACTCCTTCTAAGGCCCTTGAAAGTTCCTTTCAGCGCGTGCGTAAGTGGTTGTCTGAATCAGCGCCCCTTCTCTGTCAGTGCTGGCACTGTCAAAAGCCAGAATTCGACATCTAATAGAAACAAGGGGCAGTTCTCCACGGGATCAATATCTTGGAATTGAAGAAAATAATGCTTTCAGTACTGTCTGGATGCTGAATTAGACCGTGGAGCTCACTTATCTCTGAGTAGTTCAAAGAAGGGACATCCATATCAACAGGATCAAATATCCATCAGCCACTAGTCAATATGTAATAGTACAATTAGGAAATGTTCATATTGCTTTCACGGTTTGAGGTGGGCAAGGGAGACCAGTTCAATCATTAAACATTGCATTTGGAAAGAAAAGTCTTTATACCCTAACACGCAAAGTCCGCCAGCCTCCCGTATCGTGCGTACCAATGTTTGTTCACACGCTTGTCCGGTTTCCTTAGCCACTCCAAGCAACTTCTGGAGTCCAAGGCAACAAAGTTTCGTTCGTCATCGCCAAAATATTCTCGTATAGTTTGTTGCTTCGGCTCGTTCTGGACGCCCCTGCTCTATAGTTGTAGTAGTCTAGAGAAAAAGGAGGTTGACGATAGTTGTTCGTTCCCGTTGGCCGATGTACTGTCCATACAGGTATTTGTGTTCTTTTGTTCTTTTGTTGATAGTCTTCCAACCAAAAAGGCTAGTCGATGATGTATTCATGAGTATGTAGAATATCCTGTACTCTGACAATATTCCTCGCACAAATGAAAGGCGCTGAGACAGTATGTCTCGATATCTTGTCAGCACAATCCCTTTCTCCCCTTTCATGGTCACTATCCTATTGTAGGTGTCAGTCATGGTGTTTCCATGTAACACTCTGTAAACTCACCCTTTCCCCTCCAAAGAGCGTCTCTCCTCTGGTATCCCACCGCTTCTATTACCAATGAGTATTTCAGTCTTCAGTTGTCCATATATCAGAAGGCTTCTGCAGAGGTGTGCCCAGGAGGATTTTATGAGGCCCTTGGCCGCTGCTGCCAGCTCCTGCCTCAGTAGGTGCTGTTTTGTTAGGAGTATCGCCAGTCTCTGCCACAACTGGATTGTCCCTTGTAACATCTTTCATAGTGATGTCGACTTCAATTTCAGAGTGGCTCTTGCAAACTCTAAAACTCCAAGTCTCGTTGCTTTCGCTGTATTTGCAGCGACAATTAATTTCCTCAATGTTGAGGTGATTGAAGAGGGGTTCCAGAGTTGTGAATAAGTCTTTTGGAGTTGGAGGCCAAACTTCCCGAGAGTCAGCCGACGGACCCTGGTGTGTGTCGGCCTTTCGTTTTTTCCCCCTATTCTCGCTGCCCTTTTCACCATTGCCATTGTTGTAGCTTGAATCTTGTGTCTGGTAGGGCTGGGAGAGGGGGTTTGGGAGCTGAGAGTGCTGGTAGAGCTGGTAGAGCTGGGAGTATCGGGACAAGAGGTTTGAGAGCTGAGAGACCTCGTGGGGCTGTAAGGGCTGGGGATGTTGGGGGGGAGGCGTTGGGGGTCGCCATTGCACCGCGGAGAATTGGGGCGGGAGGTTGAAAGGCCCATATGGGACAGGCTGATTCGAATCAGGTTGCACGGAAGGGGGAGGTGGAGGCTTGTTTGGGGCCATTCGAATCGGACGATAACGACGTCGCGAATTTCCATCACTGGCATTGCCAACAGCTTGAGGCGAAGGTGGAGGTGGAGGCCCACAGTGATCAGCTGGGGGCCTGTTCAGGGCCTTTCGAATCGGAGGTAGACGAACTCGTGAATTTCCATCACTGGCATTGCCAACAGCTTGAGGCGAAGGTGGAGGTAGAGGCCCATAGTGATCAGTCGGTGGGCGGTTCATGGCATTACCGGGAGCTTGAGCTTGAGCTTGAGGTGGAGGTGGAGGAGGAGGCGGAGGCGGAGGACCTTGCAAATGTTCACCACCATGTTGACCACCGGAATGAGAGCCATCATGATCTCCAAGGCCATCGTTTCCAGCAAGTCCACCTCTGTTACCATCACGGGGGCAGTGTTGCGACTCTTCAGCACCTGTAGACTGTTGCGATGCCATTTCTGGGTACTTGCTGATATTGCGAGAAAGTGTTGATGTTTGATGTCGAGGAAGAGATGCGAGAAAGTTTTCATGTTTTGGATGAAGAGATGCGAGGCGGTGAAAATGGGATAGCAAATCTGAAAGACCAAGGTAAGGTATCTCTGTCTGTAGGCAACCAGACTCTCATGTTGTTGCTGACACTGGGGAGGAGCTGACAGGTGGAAAGTCACTTCCAGCAGGTACAGCTGACCGCTAAAACAACTGACATTGGAAGGGGTATTGGATAAAGATCAAGTTAGCAATGTGCCCTCAAGATTTGTGAAGGCAGGCACTGATACTATGAAACGGTTGTCACGCATGCTCTTGTCCGTGTCTAAGGGGTCAGCAGCACATTCTCATCAACAAGTGAAGCACCATCAACCGAATAACGTACTTTCAAATTTCAGACCACATTCAAATTGAACTCGAGGTAAAATAGATGCTCTAAATGTGCCCAAAATCATACGGTTGCTAACCCAACCCTTCTCTCCCCTCCCATCCCTGACCCTTTCACATACGATACCCAAGACCTCATGGCTGGCGTCGCATTTTGATCAGTCCGTTTTCCCTTGTCATCCAGGTACAATCTCCTTCTCCATGTATAGAGCAATAAGGTGTTCGCCCCCTTTCGTCCATAAGACAGCCAACCGTCTTTCCTTCACCCAGTGACTGAAGACAAAACGACAGCTCGGGAAAGGTGACTGAATCTCCAGCAAAACTTAGCAGTGCAGCTCGTCGCGTATTATCCTCGAGAACGGTGCACAGGAGGGCAAGGTCGTTTATGCTGAGGTCGTCGTCTTTGATATCAAGTGGCAAGTCAATGGCGGCTAAGGCGAGGCGCTCTAGTCGGCGAGAAAAGGGATTGCCTCGTTTCTCTTCTGGCTGAGGAGGTTCGAGCTTTTCGACTTGTTCTTTGGGTCCCTTGGTGATAGATTCGAGACGAGCTGTGGCGCGAAGAGCATTGTTCTCTGCTTTAGACGTGCGATCATGGTGAACAACTCTCGAAGGTCGCGCTTAGACTGCTCGGAAAAGGAGGTCTCTTCAAAATTTGCCTGTCTATTCGTCAGTTCCAGGATCATGGATAAGGAAGGTCCCTTGCCAAGAGTACTTACTGTCCCAGAGCTACTGCTCTTTATGGCATGTTTGGCGTTCGATTCACCCGCCATCGTGTATGCGTTCTGATCGACGACACAAGATGTTGAACACAGGGGAATGAACCATGCAAACAAAGTTGAGGGGACAGTTATAATACGAAGTTTTTGAGACCCGATTTAATATGCGGTCGGTTTTGCAGTGCTTGCCAACCTTGGCTGAGATGTTTGAGAACTGTCAGTCACTGCCACTTCCACTACCCAGGCAGGTAGGTACCTTCCATCTCTGCCTGACACTGAACCGCAATCGCTCCTCGGCTCTTGCCGTAAAACTTCAGTCATATCTTTCTCCTTCCGCCGACCCCTTGCAACTTCAAATTTCAGCGTTCGTTAATATCAAGAAACCTCTTCTTCTAATACCGAGCGTAAAGCATGGATTTGGGAACCCCTACTTCCCGCGAGGGCATTCAAAGCCCTTTTGCCGACAAAAATGTTACTTTACGATAACCCTACGAATACTGTCAAGGGTGTGAGCTGTTACTAACATATTTCAGGAACAAGAGTCCCTTCGCAAGCAGCTGGAAGAGGCGCAGCGACGTCTACGCGAGGCCGAACACACCATCACAGGACTAAGAGCCGCACAGGATGTTATTAGGGACCACAGCACAGATCTCAAGAAGGAGAGCAACCGTCTACGCGAAGAGTTGGCTGTGCTCCGATCTCAGAACCCACAGACTGGCAACACCGGCAATGAAGCGAACGCAGGCCTCACCGTGACTCTGCGCCCAGAGGACGTCAAGAACCTGCAAGAGTGTGTCCGGGAAATCAAACACGAATCCAAAGAGATCCGTCAACAAACCATTGAACTCCGCGACTGCATGCTCAGCAATCAAGAGGGGTTTAGTCGAAAGCGACGCCACACAGCTTCAGATACCGGCAGAAATGAAGAAGAGAGCCCAGTTATGCAATTTCTCAACTCGTGTAAACTGTACGACAACCAAACAAACCGTTGCTCCATTGAATTTCGCGGCGCACTCAAACCCTTCATCGAAGACTTGAGTCGTGCATATGTATCAAAGTCGTCATTGCCTCACGAAAAGATAAGGCGAAATTTAGCAGACTTCGTTTACTCCAGAAACAAACCTGGATGGCATTGCCTTCGAGATGTCTGTGAGAAAGGCAGGCTCTCTACTGTGGTTCAAATTGTTTCTGTTTGCCCGCTTCATGACACCAGCTGCGAGTTTCTTATCTTACGGATTCAAAGCAATTTTGGTCACCTCAGTTTCATGTCATGGGGGGACCTCGGAAAGTCCACTTAGTGACAGAATAGCCCAGTTCGCCCATCGCCACGTCTAGAGGGGGATATTAGTTCGGGTTCTACAATCGCTGGGACAACGGAGACAGCAAGATCACTCGAGATACCACAAAATAGCAGTCAAAATTCCATCATTTCAGCTCATTGTGCTTCTCGTCTTCTGCACCGTGAGGTTCCATCTCAGCCGTCGACCTTGTACAAAGGCTTGAGGACAACGTAATCACTCATGAATCTACAATGGTGGGGATTTCGCTGAAGAAAATGAACAGCTGATCGTGACACCTTTATGCAGGTCAATGGCGGTTGATCCCCTAAGATCCTCTTTGGTAACGCACCCTCTCAATGCTTATGTCCATCCTTGAGGGGACTGGTTCAGGTCGTGGCAAGGCATAAGCAAGGCTCAGATTTGCCAAAATACTCTTTCTGACCTGAAGCTATTATATTTTATTCAAAGTCGAATCGCTAGTCGCTGTGTGGTAGATCGCTGTGGTTAATCTCAAGTGTCTCCAGCCCCTCCTGAAGTTTGTCTTTCTTTATGCCCGATAAACCTCATTTCCATAGGCCCAGTCGCGGAGCTCAACTCTCTTTGCTTCTTCAATAAAAGCGGACAAAGTGTTCCCGAGATTTATTTATCGGCCTTTGTTCGGCACCCTGGGCTTCGAAGTCATGAGCTGTTCTTGTTTTCTTGATGGCTGAGGCTGGGTTTCTGAGATCGGCCCAGAACTTGTCGGTTGCTCAGCTCAGACCGATTGTTGCCAGAACACAACAACCTAGCGCATCTCTCTTTGTGGTGGGGTTATTCTTTAATGGCGTCTGTTCCAAAGAGTGGTCGGTCAGTTGAGTGTCGTCATTTTGGACATGGTGGTTCAGGAGTTGCTGTACGTACCTTCATCTGCATTGACAGGAATGCTATCTTCGTCGTCGGTGGGGCAGTCATCGGCAGGGCAGTCATCGTCTGAATCCCGTGAAGATGACCCCCTTTGGCCTCAGTTAGCTGCTTGTTCCAAGGGGTTGAGATGACCATCGTACAGTGCTTCTTCTTTATCCTCCTTCATCTAATAGGAGGCATCTGTGTTGAATCAGCAGAAAGTCAAGACAGCTTATCTCATATTACTACGTTTGTCTCTGCTTTTGGTACGGGAACGAGTTTGTGATCTTTCACGTTTATTGGGTCGAGACATTGCTAAATTTGGAGTTGTGGCGGTGGACAGTTCGTGGGCAAGAAGAGCTTTCTTAGGTTCTCGTCGAGTGGCTCTGGTATGTGGTGATTTATAAATTATGAGGTCTGATTATACAAGGGGTTCCAATAGATGAGTTCACGAAAGAAGTGTTACCATGGATGGATGGAAGATGGGTGGAATCAAAGTCCAGTTGATATTGAATTGATGGCCAAAAACTTACTCTTGCCTTCGGGGATTTCAACAGAAGGTCCTCTGCAGTCGTTGGCGGCGACAGGCAGCTTAAAACCTTGCAGAGTCACCATCCAGTCTTTCCCTAGGTAGTACCTAAGGTAGGTACCTAACCCAACAGGATTTTCCTGTTTCCAGTCTTCATTCCCTCCAGCCCCTCACTTTCCTTTATCCTTTTCACAAGGTTGCTTCCTCCACGCCAACTTGGAAGGGGTGTTAATCGTGCTGATCCCGATATCGAAACTGCCATCCTCGCCCTCAAGCTCCACATTCGACTTGCAACTACCAACACTGTGCTGGTACTCATATGCCACTTCCATTCCATACAATCACGCGAAGCGACTTTTCTGCAACACTCGCCATGTCTTCGTACTCTGGCAGCCGTGAAGAGGGACGTGATCCAGGAGAATGTGGATTACAGTACTCCAGCTACGGTGACGATAACTTAGCTCCTCGTAAGTGTTTACCTGCTTTGCACTTACCTTGGTTGCTCATTATCCCACAGAATGGGACTCAAACATAGATACTCCCGAATGGGTTGATGAAGCTCCCTCGCGCTCTTACACCAACGATCGAGGTCCCGCATAGGAGCAGGATTCTCGTCAAATTGAAACCGTAATGGCCGAAAACGCAGACCTTCGACGAGATCTCCACCGTGCACAGAGGACCAGCCTCCGGCTTCTTGACGCGCAAAAGGAATCGACTGAGCGCATCCGCGAACTCCAAGACAACAACTACGGCCTGGAGGAAGAAGTCGCAAATATGCGTGCCCAACTTGCGTTTGTCACTGGCACCATCATTAACAAAATCCAAGACAAGGTCGACGCTGCGACATTTGCAGGCTCCACCGTACGCGCTCTTAGACAACAAATCACTGATCAAACCGAAACCATCGAGAATTTGAAGATCCAAAAGAGAAAGGCAGTCACAGAGCTCGCTCAACTTCAACTCCAGAGAAAGAAGAAGAAAACGTCCTCCTCCAACAAAGCAAAATCAGAGAAGGGGAAGTCTGGGAACCATAGCGCACCTTCCGATGCCAATACAGCGTTTAGCCCCTCTCTGATCACTGCCCCTGGTCAGGCCCAATCTCTTATACCCTCGGCCCAAGATTTGGCTGAGAAATATTTGGTTGAAGATGTTATACGCGATCGCGTGATTCGTGATGTGCATCTCACTTCAGGAGTCGAAGCCCAATTGCAAAAAGCTCTACTGAAAACCAGTGCGGGGAGAAACTTGCGTGGCTTCATTGATCGAGGCAAGACTGGTTTATACTATTGCTTTCACGAGGTTTGCGAGAAGGGGCCTGATGCTTCTGTTGAGCTGCACTTGGCCGACTCTAGATGTCAGCTCGGAGGTGACAAATGCAGCTTCCTGATGAAGGTGGTGGGGATCGGTTCTCACAGAAAGGTTCAGATCTACAATGCTGCCGTGGGTACTGCGGCTTGAATCAGTGTGTCTTTGTCATGTCGGGGGCGGGCGGTGGAGTTCCGAAAATGTGGATCTAACGCACCGACAGACACCGGACCTGAACCCCACTATGCCGGAAGATAATTGACCTCACTTGTTGAACTTGAAGGTTTTGCTATTGATCAAAGCCGCCACAAAATCCTACATATAAATTACATTAAGTGATATGAAAAATGAGAGTAATCTAGTGCCTGGAATCTGTTACATGCTAGTATTTGGGGGAACAGCCAAGCTTGCCGTAGCTCGATCTATCTAACATGCCGAGAGATAGCTATCCAATTCAGGCCACACATGGTATCCAAGCGGTGCGCAAAGGTGACAACCACACGGAGCATATAACACGAATTTATGTTTACAAGAGATGCCATCCAGGATAGACCACGGTTCCGCAGACTTCGTCAAATGTAGCCACTTCATCACAAGCCTAGACCAAAACTGGCCAGCCAATGCAGCGCTCGAGAAAGACCGCGATCTGTCGAAGAGACATTTGTCTCTGCGTCGTGAGTGCCGCTGTTATTCCCGGTAGTTAATTCTTAGCGATATCTCGGACTGTTGTGGGCGTTCTGAGGGGGCGATGGATGAAGCAGCGGGAGCTTTCATTGAAGGTAAAGAATACGGGCTCGTGATGTGTCCAAGGCCACAAAGGCTTGGGCTCAACGTCTTCAACTACAAGGAGGAAATGATTAGTAAGAGGTGAGCTTGTTTGAAGAGTGATCGAGGGACTCACGCCAGAGACGCCAATATTCTTCGTCGATGAGATAAAGCAAGTGATCAGTCTCTGCCTCTGTCCAATCTGTTGCTTGGATCATCGGGAGAGCCCTCATAATTCTCGCCCGAGCTTGGGTTTGTACTACCACTTGCAGCGCTGGGCCATCGTGCCGTGCCCAAGCCAGATAGGCGTCGACATACTCTGTTCCTCGAGAGCTTGTGGGGTTATCGCCCGGCCAAGGCTCCGAGAAGGCTTTGAGCTTCACAGTGGCTATAGGAGGGACATATTCGAGGTGATGGACTGCATTATCCTTGCTGAGCTCTTCTGTGGACGCTGTAATGCCGTCAGAAAGGGAGTCGGGCCAACTACAGTTTGTAGGCGAGGACATTGTCAAGCTGGAGGTTGGCACGAAGGACCAAGTTGGTAATTGAGAATAGAAGGAGAGACATTTCGAAGAGTTGGAGATGCATTTATGACGAAAACTGTCAATGTTTTGATAAGTGACAGTGGATTTTGGCAAGCTAAGGTTAGTAGGTTACCCTTAGGTACCTTGCGGGCAGGTGCAGAAGCACCTGGCGCCTTCCGTTTGCCGAGCTGTTGTTTGCCGCCCACATCAACCAAATTTCATCCGCCTCTAGTCAGCTTCACCTCCGTTCCCGTTCCCCACCAAACACGCGCTTCTGTCTTCTGCCTTCTTCCTCATTCACCTCAATCCTCATCCGCACCATATCAGGTGCTTTCCCTTCACGATGCCCAAGTCTGATCCTCCTCCTCGTCAGAGCAACTTCCGATCTAATCCGTACGGAACTTGGATCTCTCCCGGCTTTACTAGCCAAAGCAACTATTACCCAAGTCCCACCTCCTCTCGCTTTGACGACCCGCCTTTCGGTATGCAGCCGCGCGCATGGGGCCCTCCGTCTTTGGGCTCTCCCGAGGGCTATGATGTGATCATCCCTCCTCCTGAGTTGACCCGTGACCAGCGCGTGGTCCCCGCTCCTCCGCCTCCTCCATGCGGCTCTGAGACTACTGAGAAACGCTCTCAAGGTGGTCTTTTTGGGGATCCTCCGACCTCTGTCGCGGCAGAGAAGCCAGGAACCCAAGAGTTCCAACCTGTGCCAGACTTCAAACCTGCTCAGGAATCCAAGCCCGCTCAGGAATCCAAGCCCGCTCAGGAATTCAAGCTCGCTCAGGAATTCAAGTCCTCTCAGGAACTCAAGCCCGCCAAGGAGTTCCGGTCCCCGCAGACCCAGCCGGTCCCGAGGCAGAAGCAGCCTCTGAAGCGAGTTGACAGCATGGTTCTTCAGGCTGTGACTCGCAACAGCCGTCGGGGCAAGGAGATCCCCGACCTACGTGTCATTAGTAACAGCTATGGAGGTGGCACTCAGTGAAACGTCTACAGCAAAGTGCCCTCAGTTGCCAAGGCGATCTCCTTCAATGTCGATGATGAGGAAGCGCTGCTCAAGGCTTATCGCCACGTCAAGGTGATGAACCCTTCCGCTCCTGTTGGAGGCATCATGTTCAGCATCGGCGCAAGGGGCGACGCCAGTCAGGTTGACACCATCAGCTGGGACTCTTTCACTGGTCGTTCTGGTCTTGGCAGGAGCTTCTCCATGAACTTGAATGGTGACAAGGTCGAGGTCTTTCGCCGTAAGTCTGCTTCTGCGATGTGCCCCTGATTCTGTCACATACTAAAGATTGATAGCCCGACGCTAAACAGTGCGTCCCCACCTCTACATCATGTCTAGTATCATGTCCAATTTCATGTATCTGCACAGACGTTGAGTTGGAAAATGCAAAGGCTACGACCGAACATATGAAACAGTATACGGGGGGCAAATGGCACGCATTTTGATGAAAAGAGTCAACATTCGTGAGATAGCGAAGTAACATGGGCTGGAGGGCTTCTTGCTAGGAATAAAATTCTGCTGTTGTGGCAATATTGATCCCTTCTGGACTTGTGCCGTGAAAGAGAAAGCTGCCTAGATTATGATAGAAGATCACCAAAATACATTGATTACTTTTATCGAATTGATTATCATTTCAACATTCTATGAATCCCCAATCACCATCGACTTCATGGTAAATATGCCGAATAATCCCTTCAAGGTGGAACAGAAGAATGATAAGTGACAACAAAACAATGGTCCAAGAAAAGCTCTAAGAACTAGCTTCATTACTGGCGCAGAAGCAGGCACCTAAGACACAGTTCAAAATACCTAGCACTTTAGACGAAGTAAAATTGCCGACAGAGACAGACTTTTCTTTCTGGTTTCTTTTTGGGCCCTGGAGCCTATCGCTGTCTTCGGAAGCAAATTACTTAATAGGTATAGCATTCATCTCCTTTCATAACCAGAGCCAGACCGAGCTCCCCATTTATTTCCTCCCTGTCTCTGCGACGCAGATGAATAAGATTGGCCGTAGTACGCACGACGGCGCTGGAACTGCTTCTTCGTCTCGAACTTACGCTTCCGAACCTGGTATCTGGCCTGGTCCCTCTTTCTTGGATGGCCACCTGCAGCCTGAGGAATATCGGGGTCGTGTTCAAGTTGTTCCTCCATCATCTCTTCGTCAGATAACTCAGTTGATATAATTTCCCCGTCTTCAGAACCACCCATGCGTGGCTCTTGTGCAGGATCTGGGTCAGGCTGTGTGATGAAGGGGTTCGGGAGGGTCGACTGGGCTCTGTTGGGCTGATTCGTGAGAAACGCCTGGAATGGATTAAGCTGGTCCCTGTGATCAGCCATAGTCCGGGTTAAGTCACCAGCGTCGGGGTCGAATGACCGCCGGATAGGAGGGCTCTCTATTTTGAAATGTCCCACGTTCTGAGGATTCTTAGGATAGTCAACCAAAACTGCATTGTTGGGCAGAAATTTGTTGTTGGATGGGACTCCCTGTCCATCGGTCTGGCGATATAACGTATCGCTTTGGATGGCAGGCAGGTTCACTGCAGCATTGCAGAGCTTGCTCCTCTCAAGCTTCATCCAAACCCATTTGTATTCCTCCAATAGCTCCTCCAGCCCCGAGGGGTAACTTATCGAGATTTGACTGGCGCAGTATTGTAGATGATGGACATCACAAGAGATACTCAACCCCCAATCGTTCAAACGGTCCAAGGCGCTGATCAAGACATCCAGGTCTCCAGTACGAACGAGCATAACGTCGGTTGATGTCGGTGCTGCGCGCAACCCAGCATGATCAGCTACTAATGCCAGAAGCTTGGCGTGGGGTGTCTTAATGAAACCAGCAGCTTTAGATCGTTCTTGATGTAAGCGAAAGCACTCTAGTACTGGAGAGACTGAGAGGTCGCCACAGCCGAGGTGGCTCAAGATGCGGGCCTCTTTGGCAGAGAACCCTTCACCGTTGTCTGTCCGGCAAATGACTGTCCATCTGACAATGATAGGGATGAATCGGTACGCATTTGTCTCCTAGAACAAAGGGTGTGTCATGATTCTCTGAAGCTTGTCGCAGAAGTGGGACGTCCACAAGGGGTTGCGCTTCATCTGCCCACCATGCATAAAGCTATCGTTACCACTATTGTCGAACTCGAAGTCGTGATACATGGATAACAGGGACAGAGGATCCATGTTGCAGAGATGAAAGGATGTCTCGAAGACGGAGGAAAGATAGGTGCCGCGATCGGGCAAGCGCTGTATTGCAGCCTTAACTAAACCACTCTCCCAAGATGCGTCTAACTCATTTTCTTGAGTCTGGCTCCAGGTGTGAGAATCGATAAGTTTCGCTAGCTCATATTGATCCTCTTCCTTCATTCTTTCTCTGCTAATGGGAACAGATTGCCTGTTCTTCTCCCTGGTAAGATTGACTGAGTTTCGATAACTCTTGATAAATTCCGCGACAGCTTGGCTCTCATGTGTGTCGGGCGAGATCAAAGCATCCTCACTACCAATCTGTGATGTGTTCGTAGGTCGATATGGAGGGTCTCCGTAATTGCTGGGAACGTACTCATCACCCATCCAACTTTGGTGGCTGTCCTTTTCATCACCCAGTGCTTGTGGTGGCGATGGAAATCGCGTCTGCGGTCGACGGGCAGCATTTTCGGCGGCAATAGTCTTCTTATTCTTTGACCCTCGTGGCCTCCCTCTGCCCCTGCGTATGGGAGGTTCTTGTGGCCGATTATGAGTAGGAACGCTATCGTTCACGAGATTGATTGGAAGAGATTGGCTCCCATCTCCGACCTCTGCTTTAGCGCGCTGGTTCTGGGGAGTTACAGGTAACTCCCCGCCTTGCGAACTTTCGCCCAGCGGCGGATGACTTTCATCCATTGTTTTTCTTTTTCGTAGTGATCGTGTTTGATCTGTCTGTGCGTGCTGTTATGAGATTCAGGGACTGTTGGTGGTGAGGTTGTGAAAGGAAATTCGAAGAGAGGCCCACCCACGAGGCGGCTTTACCAGACTCTGGCCTAGCCTCAGGGGCCGTGCTGTGGTATGAATGTAGCACAAACCCCAATTTTAGGGAGAGGCTCCTTTGGAACTCGAGTTAGCCGCTGTCACCAGCCAAAGCGGAAATGAGAACCCTGGAAACCCATCCTGGCCGTCCACGGTAGTGTCAACTCGGAAGGGTACTGTCGGATGGGGGATAGTATACGCTGGAATTGTTTCCACAGCCGTTTGGTCACCAGAATGGTGAGAGTGTTTGATTGCAGTCCGATTGGTTAACTTATTTAGGCACAACAAAGCAAACGGTCGTTGAACTCTTAACAGGAAACTAGTAGAACAAAGGAAGAAAGGCTGATGGTACATGTTTATTACCCAGCATCAATACGCATGGCAAGATTGACAAACATGAGTATGTGAGATCCTTCTATTCCCGCTTTATGTTCTCACACGTTTGAGATGCTGATGTGACCCAAAAGACTATAGTTACAGTTGTCTGTCTGGCTTGTAGCCTGCTTGATCATCGATTCTCCAGAAAGAATATGCATTCACATTCACAGACGCGCACCATAGCCATAAATCACTTTCTACGAAACGCTAGCAAGAACAGAAAATCCAATCCTCTCTTGACTTAATACTATTAATATGCCCATGAGTCCTGGCATACCTACTTACCTTACCTAACGGAACCCTCAACAACCCCCTACTTACACTACAGCTGGACATTGACGCTCCAAGGCAGAGAAAACTCCATGGCACTAATACTGCTCCTTGATGGACTTCATCTGAAATCTCCCGTGGGAAACGAGAAGGGCCTCGTATAGCTACTTCAAAACAGCAACGAGAAGCCTCGTACGATTTGCAACAATGTCGGTCAAGGCCACATCCTTTTTGACAATAAGCACGAGATCGTCACCCCAGAATATCACCAAGCCAGTTTTCTTTGATTATACGAACTCATTGTCATGAATGGACTGGTAGTGATCATCCACGATGCCAATTCCTTTGTTCCCAACCAACAAGTGATCCCTGCTCCCAACCCCCCAACATCCAGACAAAGAATGATCAATCAGAATGGACACTGACAGCGACTGAGATGGCAATCCCAAAAGGAAATAGCTAGTACCTATCCGTTGAGTGACAAAGGGGAAGAAACTAACAATAGTCTAGTACTGCAAACATTCCCAAAGCTGCTGCGATAACATTGGCGCCAACTTCAACAAAGAGTCACCTGCTGATGCTCTGACGGCTACCAATTTGTTTCTATTCTTTCTTGATACGCTTTTGAAATGATCCCGTCGAGCTGTTCAAGAGCTTCAGATTCATAGCCATGGAATTATGAATGATGAGTGTTCTGGAGACGTCCCATCGCCACATGCAGCATCTCACGTCAACACTATACTACATTGTAAATAGCCACGATCAGACGAATCTGCGAGACTCTACTTGTTATTCTAGGTGTCCAGATTGTTGTAGTTTCTTTGTTCTCCTAGTACTGGCTTTCAAAAGATGTATAATACCCATCCTTGCTCCCACCAAGTCTGGGACCAACTAAACAGCAATACCAGTACTCATCCTCATTCTGTCCGCTCCAGCAAGCAAAATGGACTATCCTTCTGCCTTAGCTGATCTCATCGGCAAGCTTGCTGATTTCGTCGAAGAGTCTGATGATCCAATCAAAGAGCCTTCGGATCCGAAGGGTATCTTCGCACACGTCAAGTTCGGGGCCGCTGCTGGAGAGATCTTTGAGATCCCGGCAATGTTGTTTGACCGGAGACTTGAATGGGACACCAAGATCGTTGTTGCCGTCTCGGAAAGCAAAAAGTCAATGATGGACAAGAACCTGATGCCCAGAGTAGGCGAAATGGTACGGGCAGCTGTAAGGACTGGACAACCGGTCAGATCGGATGTGGTCGTCTATACGTACGCCGAGCTTTTCACTCTTCTCAAGAGCTTTCGAGACCCGGGTTTCTGGAACCAGGCTTCCCAAAACTTCTGTTTTCCGTTCACCCTGCTCATGATAGACGTGGAACCCGACTTCAGTGCGGAATTTGTCCTGGCACTGAACGCTGCGACCATCTTCACCAAAACATTCAATGACAATCAGCAGAACCCAAACACCACTTTGAGGCTGACAACCATGTCGTCTGATCCCATCCACCCATTCATCTTGAAGTTGTTCCAGCGATTTCACACAGTCCAGTTCTTTGAACTACCCGAATATGAAGACAACTACGCCCCCGAGCTAGTTTATTCGACGAACTTGAAGACAGCACTGCGCAACATCAAGAGGTGGATCAGGGATCACGACGACAATCGGAAAAACACCATCATCACGTTCTGCGGGGAGGATATCATGCCTGATGAATGGCGCGGAGACCGGTTCATCCAAGGGTTCAGGCAGGTCCAAGTGATCCACCCCGGGATTCTAAACCTCATCAAGGCCAGCAATGAAGATATGCTGGTTTCTTTTCCCGAGACCTTTGAAGCCGACTTCAAACTTGAGTTTTCTGGAAATCTGCACATAGTAGGAAGTCTTACGCGGAGACGACGTATCTTGGATCGACAGACAGGTCACGAGGTTGAAGCCACACTCAAGCTGTCGAAGCGAGAGCGAGAAGCCCAGATATCCGCGGCATCGTGGTTCGAGATGGATGACACGTCCGTACGGTTCTATGCACCCGATGATTACCTAACGTCTCCCCAATTCGATTTCCCTCGTCGCATGAAGTTTGCCTGTGAGCAGATTGACGGATTTGTCGCTGCATGGACGGATCTGGGAGACTGGCCTGATGAAACGTTCGATATTCTTCACCATGTCTTGAACATTGACAACGCGATGGCTGACGACAATATGGACACAATCCCTTCTGGCACAGCCGCCGACGATGGTATTGATTATTATAATATTAATGCTGCTCTCGATCGAACCTGGAAACGCTTGGAGGTCCAGGGCCTCATCGGGCTCAATTATACATTTGGTGCAGCCATCCCTGCCAACCGCGAAACGTTCTTCCACGACCTCAACCAAGTTACAAAGTACATTGGCAAGGCCGCACATGCCACGGCACTTGAATCTACGCCGAAACTCAGTCAGCTCAAGATGCACCTGCTTGCGGCTCTCTGGGTCGGTATGAAGCGACTCATCCAAGTCGACTGGCGAAACAACGGGAATACCAACCAAGAGGTTCGGAGTCTTATTGGCTTTAGCAGCACCGCCAAAATTGCTCGGTACGGCACCCTTTGGTCCAAGCTGGGCTTGATGGAGGCCCTCTGGGCGAAGCACGGTTCAGGCTTTTGTCCCAATAGCACTGCGTCACAAATTATTGATGGTCACATCTCAGCCTCCACGTTGGCGAGGTCAAATTGGATGAGTTATAGGCAGAACATATCCGCTTTGGCAGCCCGTGAAGGTGTCGCAATGCCTTCTGTCGATGGGTTCTTCCTCAGAGACTTTGAGATCAGGGAAGACGAGTACGACGCGCTGTGTCGGCACTTCATGCAAGCGTACTCGAACCAGGTCGCAATAGTCACGAAACGCGGCAACCGTTTGATTATAAACGACTTTGCATCTGGACAACGGCTGGATTACACCGCCGATGTTCTGAATCTGGTCGATTGGGCAGAGATCACTAAGAAGGAGGGAGGCTCTGCTGTGCTTGGGTTCTACACCGCAGCATCTCGTTACCCGCGGGGGGCCAGAACCAAGATCTCTGACTGGAACTGGATCCCCGATAGGCTCTGGGAAGAATGGGACAGGACTCTGAAAGCTGCTGTCCAGGTGGGAACAGAAGCCTTCAAGACGCAAGGGGCCATTGGCCAGCTGAGCCGGGCTCGCATATATCGCCTGAATCCCGACGAAGTTTGAGAGATCAGTGTGCTCTTTACTTCCATATGTAAGTATATTGTTCGTTGTTGGTGTACAGACTGTAAGGACTGGGTGTAAGGCCTTCCGGCAAGGGACGGTAGAGGCTTGATTTTGCGTCTGTCTGAAAGTTTATGTTTGTTATTTTACTTGGATAGTTCAGTGTAAGGCTAGTATTGTATTAGTCTTGGATATTTAGAAGTTCGCAGACAATAGTTTTTGATAGATTCCGAAATGAGTAGAGGGAGGACTGCTTGCATTGAATGGTGAAGACAAAGCTGTGATTTGGATGTGCGTTCGATTCTATTTCCATTCCTCAGGTCGCTTTTTGGCCAGTGCCGCCAGTCGAAGCTCAGCAAAGGCCTGGTTGCTCTAAGGGCGGTCACGTGATCTCTCGTTGTCGTCACTGCGCCGTCCGCTCTCGGCCTCAAGAAAGTTAGTAAACAACAAAAGATCGCCTGCGATAGCAGACATCTCAACACAACAACAATGGATCTGCAACTGGACACAGAAATACAAAGTGTTCTCAAATTAGTGCGCAGTTCTTTGCGCACAAATGGGACGCCTCTCGAAAATGCAATCCGAGAACTGAGAAGCGTCACTGAGTCAATCCAGAATGCAAGACACCTTCGCTACACTCAGCCGCTTCCTCATGAAAAGAATGGCAAAGATGTCTTTGAGGGAAAGAATCAGTCTCACCTTGAGGATATGATGCAGCGCCTCTAGAAGAGGCTCGATGAATTTCCAAACCGCAAACAGTTCAACAAGATGAAGCAGCAACTCAACGACAACACCAAATACATGAAGAGATTGAAGACAAAGTCGAAGAAAAGTCCCAAGCGCAGCAACAAGCTTCACAGCAATAAACTCCCGGTAAATTAAAAAAAGAAAGAGACATCCACAGTGCCATAGCTAATTCAGTCACCAGAAGCATCCTCAGAAGCCTGTGATTCCGGCACGAAAGGCGCTCACGCGCAAGCGTCACCACAAAAAGGATACCCTTGACACGGGGAAACGAAACAAACGTCTAGAGCGCACCAAGCGACAGCTTGAGAAAGAAAATGTTTCAGCGCTTTACGAAGCGAGTAAGCTGCGACAAGAGCTCCGAAAGGAGAAGAGGGCTCTAGCAAAAGAACGATCAGAGAGAGCTCGACAGAGTTTAGAGATCGGCCTACTCAGAGACGACAATATAGCCGCGCACAAGAACCTGAGTGAAAGCCAGGCTGCCCTAAAAGAAGCTCAAGAGCGATGTCGTGAGCTGGAGGCTTCTTTGCGATCACAGGACGAGACCATTTACGCAGCGCGAGATCAATACGCAGAAGAATCGCCCATCACCATAGACGGAAATTTTGATGAGGCCAGTGGTCTAGGTGATATGACTCCCTCAACGCCGTGCTCTCCTTTCGAGAACAAATCCAATGAGTATGGGCAACACATTGCTACGCCGCCGCCAAGCCAAAAACGTCGCTCTTCGATCACAGCTGCCGCAACACCACCAGAGACCCCAGCAGGTGGCCCTTCGAACAACACGACATGGCTCGCTGGCCATTTCCCTGTCATGGAAGACGAAAACTTTGATCTCGAGATGGAAGAGATCATGCTTGATCACTTGAAATCCATCAGAGTCTTCAGGCGATTCGAAGGATTTCTTACGGCTGGACATGAGAACTCGTGGTTCTGCATTGAAGATATTGCGAAGTATGGATACAGCTTCGGTTCTTGGAACGACAATATCTGCGAGAACGGAGAGCACGATGGTGTTCGTTGTAGGCAGGTCAAGGTTAAAGTCGTCGATTCGGAAAGACGGCTTTGCTTCAAACGTGATGACAGAGAGAGTCCAAGCTCCTGCCAGGGCGTGTGGAATGAAACTGGATGGGATGACTGGTAGTATGGCTGAGTTTTTCAGGGAGACTTGGAAGATATGTGATAAAGTTGAGATTTTGGGAGTTTTATGTACTGGTATATTGCTGTTGTTGAGAATGGGATGTTAGGTATGGTCATTTCAGGGGGATCACATAGTACGCCTACGACACCCGTAGCGACCTCCGCAGATGTATGCAGTACGACAGGTTCACAAGTACGGCGAGATCATTGCATCTGGGAGATAATCTAAACAAGACGCTGTAATTGCGGTCGCCATGTTTATGTCTAAATTAAAGTCAAACGCTATCCTGTTAAGATTGATATCTGATGCTCCTTAATCCGGGGCCTTCCTTGAACCCAGTTCACAGCGGCCATCTTGGAGTCTCATGGTCTTAACATAGGAGCACTGTCCGTCTTGTGATGAACACGCTGGTCTTGGCGTAGAGATCCGTCAGTCAAAGACTGGAGGACATTCCGCTGAACTCCTAAACCAGCTTAGGCGTCCTGAGGGTTCATCTTGTTCAGGGTCTTCGTTCCCATCGTCTATCTCCACAGCGACGTTTCGTAGCCCTTTCTTCGGAATCTGAGTTTCCGACGTATTTCCGCTTGCGGGCGCCCAGAGTCCAAGGGTAAGGTAGTGTACTGATAGTGATGCAAGTATCAAGTGGCTTGTCATACACCTGTCGCAGCTTCTCATAATACAATCCATTAAACCGCATTCGCCATTCGGCCCTTGAGTTGGGATACCATGGCCACTTCCGCTGTTCCGGGGTGACAGAATCCGGGGCTTTTGGAGCTGGATAAGAGACAGTAAGTATTGTGTTCAAGATCAGAGGCCATGGGGGTTCAACCGTTGTAACACCACATAAAGAAGTCAACAAGATAATCGAACATTTGCTTCCTCGGATGTGAAAGACTGATCTTGGACAGCCGTCTCCCCGTAAAAGACTCCATGATAGCTTGTGTTCTCTGGCGCATCTCCCACTAATTGACAGCGAAGTTCTTCCATCGAAGCCATTCTTCGAAGAGCAGGAACATGTAGCGACGTCTTTGCTGCGTATTTGGACGGTATCCGGGGAATTCGTTGAGCTTTGCAAACGGCTTCCTGCAGCTCCTTGGAGGTGTCTGGGGCGGGTTCTTAAGGTAATCTGCTGGTCGTGCTTCGGTTTCTCTTGGTTGGTTTGCGCTGATGCATTGGAAACACTGTCCCTCATCCATGATGAATAGCGATACGTAGATAAAGAAAGGAGAATACCTAATTCTGCGAAAGAAGATAAAAGCCTGGCCCGTTAGTTCAAATTTTTCTTTTGTGGTGAAAGTCAAGGGCCGGTATCAGTTGTTGACACTGCCCAGCACCTGGCAGCTGTCTGACAGTCGCACCTACCTCACACGCCAATCTTTCTTCCTTTCGAATTTCCCACTCAACTCAATAACAACAACAACAACAACAACAACAACAACACCACCAAACACTTTTGCGGTAAGACCTCAAGTTATCACCATATGACAGATGCTAACTCACACTAGACGAACACAATGCCAAAGAATACGAGACGAGGAAAGGGCGGTCATTCGTACCGCGCGGGTCCTTACGAAAGGCCGCAGGACGAGAGTGGTGGTCGTGGACGCGGTGGAGGACCCGGCCGAGGAGGCGATCGAGGCCGTGGTCGTGGGGCACTCAACGCCAACTCTGGTGGTCTTTGTGGAGGCTACTCATCATTCCAGGGTGGCGTCCAGGTTTATGGGGGTCAGGGTTACGGCTCTGGTTATGGTGGTCGTGGAGGCTATGCCCCATACCCGGCTGGAGGTCGCGGTCGTGGAGCTTGGGCTGGAGGTCACGGTCCTGTTGGCTTCCACCCATCTCAAGGAAGTGGTGGGGGTCCTGGAGCTGGACCTGGATGGCCCAACTTCTATGGAGACCCTGGTCGTGCTGCTGGCCCAGCATTTTGGGCTGGTGGTGCAATTGGCCAGGGCTTTTATGCAGCCGGGGGATATGATACCTATGGCCGGGAAGAAGGCTATTCCCACTTTTACAACTCTCAACAGTGGTATCCCCGACGGGATGAGGAGGATGGCTATGTTCATCAAGGAAATGAACAGGAGGCTCCCAGCTACGACGCCCGGGAGAATGAGGATATGGCCGAAGAGGCTCAGTCTGCGAGTCACGAGGTCACTCGCATTTGGGATATGTCAGTTGTTCCCCATGGTGAAGGCTTCTGCATGTACAACTCGCAGGCCGGGGGCAAGCAGGAAAATATCGTGGGTACGCTCTCCATTAGGGGGGAAATTTTCTGGGTGGCCTGTCTCGATGGATCGGACGAGTCGGTGGCGAATCTACACCAGATGCTGCCTTCTGGGCCCAAAACAGTCTCGGTTTTTGCTCACGGGCCAAAGGACATCCTTTCTCAGGAAGAATTGTCGAAAGTCAAGTTCGACGTCAACTCCATGAACGACCGCCTGAAGGATTGGCTCCCGGAGGGGAGGCCAGTCAGGACACATTCGTTGCTGGGGCCAGGCTGTACAAGGGTCTCCAGGGCCATATAGGATGAGGTTTTCGACACACCATCTACCATGGTAGAGAATAAGTGGTGAGTTATCACATATGGTGGGGCCTGCTAAAGTCTTCTCACCGGTCCATGGATGATGAAACCGTCGTATAGTTGGACACCAGACTAATTCTTGTTTTCCAGTCACCCCTCTACCTATTGGAAGCGTGTCGAGCCTGTACTTGCCCTCGGAGGCCCGAAGAGCACTTAAAACTATTGCTCCCACGTTGGCGGCTCTTTAGACGACTACAGCTGCCCGGATCGAAAGGCAGTAAGAATAAGAGTAGGCCAAAGGATGATATGGCTGAAGGGATGCCGGTCAGGCTTCCTGTAAAATCTTGTATACGGATGGAACTGGAATGAGTAATGGACTCGCAGTATGCTGCACAGATCTGAGTCTTTTATATTCACTTAAGAGAGGCATAGATAATTGTAATGGAATCCATGCAAGACTGGAAGCGATATCTTCAAACACCCCCTATATTGATGCTACTCATTTTTCATAAATCTCATCGCGATTCTTAGCCAACTTAAAGTTGGTTCGCAGCCCTCCAACACCCCCAGGCAACTCCGCATTCCAACGATCCCAAACCTCGGGCGGGATCCAATTCCAATCTTTGATGACAGTCCTCCCCCTCTCGCGAACAGCTCTCGTGTAAATACCTACAGCGTAGCCCCACTTGTCAGTCGAGATAGTCTCCCATTCGAAACTGTGCTGTACCTCGAAACTTGCTTCTATGCGTGTTTGAGAGACGAGATCCTTAATAATAACTTCGCCGTGCTCGACTGTGACGAGGGCAATTTGGTAGGTATAAGCTCTCAGTAGATGGGCCCAGACTTCCATGAATACATCGAATTCGATACCCTCTGGCTCCTCCTCGGTAAAAGGTAAAGTTTCGTTAACGATGTAACCGCACGTGTTCAGGACTTTAAGTAGCATTCTGCACCGCTCCATGACATGCTTTACTTCGTCCATGTAGACACGCACTTGTTTATCAATGATGTAAATCTCTGGTAGGAGCATAGAAAAGCGTGTTGCGCTTATCGCAGTCTTCATGAATCCAAGGCCCTTCATGATAGTACCAGTATGTGCGACATGCTTCAAGAGACCAATTCGGGCTGCGTCATTGGTTTCATTGACCTCAGGGGCTACTTTATAGACAAACGCAAAGCAGTTCGTGTTACTCCCCGAAATTATCGCCGCCATTTGCGTTTTCGCTGTGTTAATCATGTCGTTCTTGGACTTGATGCTCAGAAACAGCGCGAGGCGGTGGTCGTAGTCGACAAGGGGGAGAATAGTGTAGAAAGCCTCGTGTGTTTCCTTGGGGAGAGCCAATGACAACCCTAATGTCGACTTGTAATCATTTTGAAGGATCCCTTGCTGAATTAGTCGTTGCCTAATGTCGATAGCGATCTGAGACTCTTCTCCTCTGGGATCGAAAAGACGCGTGACGTTGGAGATACCGAGAGGCCAGTTGTCGAACTCGCTCAGAGCTGCCAAAAAGCCCCCAATCTGGTCATCCGCAAATCTCATGCGTCGACGGCTTTTATTAGCCCCATAGCAGAATCCTGGCTGTGTGTATATATTTGTGCTCTCTCCGCTGAATCGGTGCACCCAGCTCATCTGCTGCTTTTCCTCGGACTTTGAGCATTCTGTGGTGACGGTGATGGGCTGTCGTGTCTCGAGGTCGAAGATCAGCCGGCGACGGTTCGTGCTCGTTATGAGGTGAGGCTTGCCTGCGTCAGGAATCCTTTCGGCAGTTTTGAAGTCAAGGTTAATGAAAAGGGTCCGTCGAGGTTTTATTGCAGAGTCTAGATCCTGCTGATGATGTTGGTAGCACCGATCCCAGGATTCATCAAGTCTCGCCGGTCTTCGGAAGCTGATACAAGTGTGAATGCCTTGAGGGGCGACTTTTTCGACCCATCTCATCATTTCTGACGTTGCACTTTTGTTCTTTGAGTCTGATATGACTCGTCCCCCATTTCGCGGCATAGATGGCAGCACATATTCTCGGAGGGGTTCCTTAGCCGTGGGCCAATAGTCCCAGATGGCTTTGGTCATATCGTGAAGGCCTTCCCATGACATTGTCATAAGCCGCATACGGGCACTGGATGTACTGTGTCTTTTGATCATGGTAGTCCACGCTATCAGTGCGAGAGCGTACTCGGCCGAGTAATCAGGGTCTGCCTCAATAATGACAACAACAGCACCGTCGTTCTTGCCAACGTCTGGAAGGTACCAACCATTCTCCCGACGAGCAATCTTTATCATATTTGTTGCTTCGACATAGTCCATCGTTCTGATGCTCTTCGCGGTTTGTGTGGTGTGACGCAGGGTGGCCCTCAACTTCTCTCGTTCCTTGAAGACTTGATCCTTCTTTGTCGCATTTGTGATATGGATGATATCCGCATTAGATTTCGATCTGTAAAAAGAATCTTGTAGAAAGAGAGGAACTTTAATGGCCTTTGCAATTGCTGGTTGACCTTGTATGTGAGCAAACATGAAGGGGGGGTCTTTCATAAGCCATTTCGCCATATCACGAATGGTGTCTTTCCAAGGGTCGCCCATTTTGTACCGACTTGACTGTAAAAGATAATAATGAGTCGGAGAACTTGATCGTGTTTTCTACTAAGAATATCATGATATTAATTGAAAAGGGCGTGCAGTGGCGAGAATGGGAGCTGAAATGATGGTTCGGATAGCTGCATGGATGAAACAAAGAAAGCAAACGCCATGCACGGGTAGTGAGCAATCAACATGATTTCGTCGCTTTGGGCAAGTATGATCAAACAATTATCCCGGCCATTTGTTTGCAACGAAATGAACAGAAAGCGCCATGCCTGCACTGATATTGCTGCTACACAGAGGGCGCATCGAATGCAGCACGATCACAGTCTTTCTTATCATTTCCACACGCGACCAGAGCCATCATACTCGGACACACGAACCGGCAAAATTTCATCAGAGGCTCATACCAATCAAACTCATTGGAAACATTGAAACCATTCACATTTTATATTTATTTTATCCGCGAAGCCAAGGGAACTCGCTCTGCCGTGAATGAGTTCACGTCTATACGCCATTAAAATAGTCAAACAGTCTCGAGGATAGCAAACCACGCTCCATCAAACTTGAAACGAAGCTCACTGGATTTCATCCTGATCAGAAAAGAACTGCCAGGAAAAGGAGTCGGAGCCTCCGTCTGCAAGTGCGCTCTCTTCTCTGTTCATCTCGCCCCATTCTGGCTTCTGTGGACATAGCGAATATGAGCTGTCGCTTTCTCCACGTCGGAACCGTAGTTAAGTTGGCATTCTCAGCTGGTCGCGACGCCAGTCTTCAATTCGCGTGAGTGGATTGAACTGCCTTCAAGTCTATTTAATGTCTGATATCCCGGGGTTGTTTCGCAACTTACATAGTTCCAAAGTCTTTACCGATGATGATGGCAGCATCAAGTGGTTTATTCGCGGGCGTGTTGCATAAGTTTCGGATATTATTGTATGCGAAGTTAGGTATGGGGCGAGTTTCGGTGCAGCGAGAGAAAGGGTTTCCTTCAAGCTTAAGTCCTACCAGCAGGCTCCCATTATAAGTGTTGTACGGATCTTAGACTTCTGTTGACTGCGGTTTCATGTGTTCTTTTTCTTATTCCCGACTCACGAGGCTGCCCATGTCTTTGCCCGTCCGGTTGCCAGTGTACTCTCTGCCTTCTCACTGCTCGCCTCGCTTAGCACATCACTCGGAGCCATTCTAAGTGGCGAGTTTCATGTGCATAATGGTAGCTGTAGGGAGACCAGATAAAAGCGATGTAGAGCTAGCCTACAGCGTGAGACCACGTTGTTGGATCTGTCCGTTGGCTTAAGCGGGCCACATGGCTGATGAGGTTACGGACACCTGCAGTGCCTTTAGCGTAGCTTGCAGACTGAAGAGATCATTGGAAGGTTAGTCGTGGTGGTAGTGACAGTGACGGCGAACGTCGGTGAGAGGGGAGTTATCTTCAAAAGGAATACTTGAAAGGGTGTTCTATACCGCAAATTGTTTCCCATACCTATCCAATATAATAGAACTATAAAGTAGCAAGGCCTTTCTTTACATCCATCTCAATGTAATGAGCGGCAATCTGAAGTGTTAAGAATAATAGTCATCGATGCAGACCAAGTAAATACACATAGCTTAGCTTCCTTCAATACAGGCATCGATTTTCATTAGGTTTTTAGCTACAAGGTAGTCCCAAGCCACAGAGTGTCTAAGAGCTCCGGTCCGTCTTACACATAAACACGATCTCATACGTATCCTTGATGCATCAAGACGGCGAGCTGATCTTTCGACGGTATTCCACACCTCCGAAATCCATGGATCTGGTACCAATACCCTGTTCCAAAAGCACCATGCTCCATGCCACAATCACTTCATGCAAAGCTCATAGTTGGGCAAGTCACCAGACTCAACAAGCTTCCGGAGCCCCGACATCATCATCGAGACCCTGAACTTCTCCTCTGGGGCTTCAATCCGCTCTTGCCAGATCTCACCAGCCATGCCGATACGCGTATACGGACTCCAGCAGTCCCCCTCGCCATCAATGGACCACTCTGTGAAGGCAAGGAGAGTAGCTTGCTCTGTGTCTTTTCTGTCGAGAATCTCGTTGATCGCATCCTTCATGGCTTTCAGCTCCTTTTCGACCTCGGCCTGGATGTCCTCGGATATTTTTTCATAGGAAACCTCCCCTGGGTGCGGCAGGGGTTCATGTACGCCATTCCCAACAGGGACTTCGAGTGCCGCTTGGTGCTCTACTTCCTTGGGAACAGACTCACGGTTGATGTCCAGTTTCCCTTCGCGATCGTGGTCTTCTTTGAGAGTGGCAAACACCGTCGAAAGCTGCTTTCCATTCTTTTCGGTTGGAGGTCGTGACCATGGCCAAGCAGGCTTCGACTGAGGGGGTAGTCCGAGGACTGCATATTTCTTGATCAGCTAACGATTAAAGCAGTACTATTAGGGTTTCACTCACACCAAAGGTCCCAAAAGACCTTGTCGGCTTCCCATGCAAAGCGAGAGACAGAGGTTGTTATTGTTCCTCCCTTAATGAGAAGGTTGGCTGCGATGACTGTGGCATCCTTGCGCAGGAGCTTTTTCGTGTCTTCGGTGTTTTCTCGAGGGAAGCATTGGGAGAGGAAGCCTTCAAAATAGTCGCGCCTTTGCTTTGTGTCTGGTTCCGGGCCAGGAAAGGGAGGAAGCGGACGGGATGCGAGCTGCGAGAGATGCGAGCGCACCACCGCCAAATCGTTTAGCGACTATTCATTCATCTCGAGGGCTTTGGAAGATTAGAAAGATGTTTAGGATGAAAGGTTTGACAATTTGTGCTGTTCTAGTGTTGGAGTTTGGTTTGCCAGTCTTGGGTGTGATTCACTACCGCTTGCTAGGGCAGAGACTCTCCAGTGCCAAACAATGCACGACAACTCAACTGCAAATACCGCCTGTTCTCACTCCTCGCCAATATTCTCCCCCATTCTTTGATTCACTTCTGCTACAATAATATGGACTGGAGTCCGGACCTTACATGATAATGGGCACAGCCAGCGCAATGACAGACTAATCGAGAGTCTTTTAATACTTTATAGTCACTATACGATTGTCTCTTTAACTCCGTTCAAAAAAAGTGGTCAGCGCCATCAACACACCTTCAAGGCTCTACCCAGGACTCTGAAGAGGTGTGTTCGCTGGCCGCCGTGGCAGCATGTCCTAGCCCAGATAACCGCGGTCCATTATGGCGTTGACTACTTATGGGCTACTTAAAGCCAAAGGTCATGCAAGCTTGCTCAACCGTGATCGGTCAGTTCTATCCAAGATGCCTTGTCGAAGATCAAGGATACACCAAATCAGTGATTCATGGCACTTATCGAGGGAAACAGGATGAGAGTGACAAGCATATAGAATGTGTTTTCATCCACACCGCCCTGACACGTTCTAAGCAAACTTGAGCAAGCTCACCAAGGTTTAACTAGGAGTTCCCTGTCATGGCCAGGCCATTGGAGTATGTGTCAATGCGTCTGATCTTCTTGATGAGTACAGTTGTAAATGACATAGAAAAGAAACTATTTACTAAACCATGTACTACCCTAGACTTGTCCAAGTCTTTTTATGTCCTAGGATTAAAATCCTCATATCTTCTCTATTTATTACTGGGTATCGCCGGGACATGCTCATGGAAGCGCTCAAGCTCTTGAGTGTCACATGAAAGTAATCTCGATGATCGTCGCTGTTACATTTCCGGTAGCGAGCCCGGAGCTTTCTCCACTTCCGCCCGAATCGGCGCCGGCTCTTGACCCGATTACGGCAGTTCGCGATTCCACCCCGGACCAACCCTCAAAACAGTCACCGAATCCTTCTCAAAAGCTTAAAAACTTATCGAACGGTTCGGGCCGTTACCTCAAAATGAACACAGCGCTCTTGGACCTGCATGCAATGCCACATTATCCCAGGGGTCATTTACCACTGAGCTGTGAACGTGGAAATGAATGAACGTCGAAACTGTCGAAGGCTATCGCTGATTAGCTCTGGTGATCGGCACGTGGGTGGTCGATGCTGATGACCTGGGGGTTTCAAACTTTGATGCGAACCTGGTGAGGAGGATGTTATGCATGCTGATTGGTGGCTTGGGACTAGGGTGCACTAAGAGCTCACGAGGGTGGTATTGGACGGAGTGGATGATTAGAGGAATCAGATATTGGGATGGATTATGCGAAAGGGGATATATAGTTTCGAAACTCCTGCTATGAAACTCGCATTGTTAATGTTTCCCACCTCCTTTCGTTCAACTTTGTAATAAGGTTGACAGGTCAAAAGAGGCCTCAGCCCCAATATCCAAAGGTCAAGAAGCACATACGGGCAATACACTCATTGCGTTCATTCAACTCAGTCATCATGAAGTCCTTCGTTTCTGTCGCCATTCTACCTCTCGCGGTTCAGGCCGTGAGGATCGTTCAGTCCAATGATGATGGCTGGGCAGAGTCTTATATCCGCACTTTCAATGACGCTCTAAACAGCGCCGGCTACGATGTTGTTCTCTCGGCTCCTGCAGAGAACAAGTCTGGCAGCAGTAAGTCACATAAACACGCGTTTCCATCGCATCTAACATCATGTAGGCTCCAGGGATGAGAAACCCAAGGACCGCACCACAGCGTGTCAGTACGACAGCTGCCCTGCCAACAGCGGCCCAGTTGGCCATGATCCCAAGCGTCCTGATCTCAACTGGGTCAACTCGTTCCCTGTCACTTCTATGAAGTACGGTATCGACACTTTTGGTCCTAGCTTGTGGGACGGCAAGGCTCCTGAGCTTGCTGTCGCTGGTCCCAACGTTGGAACCAACCTCTGGCTTCAAGTTCCTTTCTCTGGTACTGTTGGCGCCGCTTGCTATGCTGCTCACGAAGAGGGCATCCCAGCCATTGCCTTCTCTGGAGCGTCCACCGGAAATACGGCCTTCAACACTAGCCCCGTCCCCAAGCGCAGTCTTGTCTACGCTGAGCTCGCGACCACTCTCGTCAAGAAGATTGTCGATTCTGGAAAGCCTTACCTGCCAGAGGACGTCTATCTCAACGTCAACTTTGGCAAGGTTGAGGGTAAATGCACTGATGCCTCCCAGTTCCAGTGGGTGCTGACTCGCATCAACACTGGTCTTTTGTCAGAGCGTGATACTGAATGGTGTGGTGAGGATCGTCTCCCTACTGAGACTGAGATTGCTCTTAAGAGTGGATGTTATGCTTCTATTAGTGTTGGAGATGCGGCTGATAAGACTACTGCTGATGCTGCGCGACAGAAGGTTGTGTTGGGCAAGTTGAAGGATATGCTTGTTTGCGTCGATTAGATAGCGAGATAGCAAGTGACATAGCGAGTGATATGGGCATGTTTACATGTATATAGATTTATTAGCATAATCAATTCGATATCTCAGGCAATCCTATGCCAAAACAAAAGTGATTCCATTCCCAAGTTCATGTCTCATTGAGTCGAGGGGCTTATCGATAAGCGTCGACACCTGACATTCCAGGCCCACCTAAAACACTTTAGCAACCTTGACTTTTCTGAGTATCACGATCAAGGGCCGGTCCGCCAGAGCTCTCAATTATCCCCTCACAATGGCGCCAATCGACCGTTGCTTGGCCTCCATGGCCAGGCTATCCCTCCTCCAAACTCCTCGACCGGCAATTCCCACGATACCGAAGTTTCTCGCCCCGGCGGCTGCTCAGCAAGTTCGACAGGCTTCGGTTGTGAGAATTAAGAAGACTGGAAAGAAGAAGAAGGCGCTGCCTAAGGACTTTAAGAGACATAACTTGGCCAAGAGGGAATTTCCTCAATACTCGTTATGTGAAGCTATGAGGTCAGTGGGATTGGAAACATGGCACCAAGCGGGGGAGACTAATATTCGACAGAGTCCTACGAGCTGTTGAGGTCGGACAACCGCCTGCTTCGGTCAAGTACGAAATTCACATCAATCTCAAGACCGCCCGAAACGGACCGGTCATCAAGAACAGCGTCCGACTCCCCCACCCTGTCCAGAGCGATTGGCGAATTGCCGTCATCTGCCCCGAAGGCAGCGAGATCGCCCAGCAAGCCACCGCCGCAGGTGCTGTAGCCGTCGGTCAAGAAACCCTCTTCGAAGCCATCAAAAAGGAGCAGATCAACTTCGACCGTCTCATCTGCCACGAGGCCAGCGAAGCAGCTCTCAACAAAGCCGGTCTAGGAAAGATCCTCGGTCCCAAGGGTCTCATGCCCAGCAAGCGTATGCGAACCATCGTCCCCGATGTCGTCAAGTCGATGCGAGACTCTGCCGGTGCAGCTGATTACCGTGAGAGGCAGGGTGTTATCCGTATGGCTATTGGACAGCTGGGTTACTCGCCCGATCAGCTCAAGAACAACATCAAGGTGTTGCTGAACAAGGTCAAGGCGGAGTGTGCGGAGATTTCAGAGGAGGTGCACAAGGAGGTTCACGAGGTTATTCTCAGCACAACCCATGGACCTGGCGTAAGCTTGAATGGAAAGTTGAAGGATGCAGAGGAGCAGATTACCCCCGAGGCATTGTCGAGCGTCATGTAAAAATAGCCTTGAGCTTGTATAATTGTATCATATGTCATATTACGAATAGACCCTGTGAGCGTCGTGGGTATCATTATTCATTGCGGCTATGAATTGCCTCTGAGGGCCTTGACGGCCTCTGATTGTGCATCTAGCACTCTATATATCGCCAAACACTTCAGCACTCTATCCTGTCCTTTTACACCGGTCTTCTTTGCTTCTTTTAGAGCGTTGCCTAAGTCTAGCAGCAATGTGTTTCTGCACCGTGTCAAACGTTCCTCCATCTTTATCACAAACGGGGCATTTGGGTCTAAAGACTCGAACAGCTTTGTGATGCGGCTGCATTCTTGTGCTGAAGCGAGCAGTCTTGTTGGGGAGCTTCCGTAGTTGTCGTCCTCGTCTTCCTCCTCGCTTTCTTCGTCCCAGTCCTCGCTGTTCGGTAAGCTACCCAGCGACAAGCGTTCTTCTAGTGATGAGAGACGCTCAGATAATTCGATCATTTTTCGGCCTTTCTCGATGGCTGATCGTACGCCACGCAGTTCGCCATTGAGGGTATTCGTCTCCTCTTTCCGCTCTGTAACTTTCGTCTTGACTTCCTCTACAGCTCGTCGGAAACCAAGTAGAGAAACCTTGACATCTTCGACCTTGTCGTCGCCGCCGCGCAGTTCGCTACCGAGCGAAAGAAAGGCTGTGTAGTTCGAATTGACGAGTTCGAGGAGTTCGGAGCTGATCGCCGCACTCCTGTCGCGAAGATCTGACCGCAAGTCCTCCAGGGTCTGGTGACGATGTGGTAGAGCAGATAGATAGGCGGCAGGTTGGAAGTCTGGAGCTAAGAAGTCGGCGCGAGGGAGAGCTTCGGGAAACGGGAGAGGAGCATCATCATCGACAGAGGAAGTGTCAGAGCCGGAGAGTGTAAATGGGGCGGATACTCTGAGATCTGCCATTGGAGATGAGAGGTTATCTGGCGCGGCGGCCATTTTGGTTGGTTGTAGACCGTGAGGTTGTCTGTGAGTGTCTCGACGTAGGCTAAAGGTTAGGTGGCATGGATTTGGTGGAGGAGCTTCTGATGGTGAGGTTCGGCTGCGCTAGCCCTGATTGGATACTTTGATCTTATCCATGACCCCAGACCCTGGAACTTGCAAATTGATCACTCTTCATGCGAATTCATTTCCATAGATTGATACTAGTCATATTAGAAGATCTATCTCTACAATAAGTGTATATAATTTCCAGGATAATGATATATCTACCGCTGATGCGAAATTAGGGGTTGTTTCCTACGATAGTCTCCTTAAAAATAAGACATCGTGAGAACTGTTCCGTCGTTCACAGCCCTGGATCTAAAGCTATTTGTTCCCGATACCAATACCGGCCGCCAAGATCACCTCATCTGGAACTCCAAATTCCGTGTGAGGAGTTCTTTCTCATTGGCCATCAT